GATTCAAATAAAACTGAAATAAGCCTGAGAACAGACCAATCATTTAGCTTCCAACCGCTTGGGTTTACATACAGTACGTCTTTTTTTAGTTTTGAATTATTGTTCACACCACAAATGATTTGTTGAGACAGAAAAGCAAATCTAAGTCTAAAGCGTAGGCTATTCTTACTTAGAGTCCAATAAAACATATTCGTCCACACAGCCTACGGGAAATTCATTTTTTAATCTATGCTGTTCAAATTCATAGCTTTCACGTGACGTCACACACTTGTGGAACCGCCCACCTGGTTTTCAGAAAACCCAGAAAGGAGGAGATTGTTGATTAATGCTATTAGATGCTGCGCTGTCACTTTAGGGAACAAAAGAAGACATTTATCCTAATCCTACCATTGTTAGGTCCTGTTAATTAGCTAATGTTGGCTAATTAGCACTCACTCATGCTTTGATGATGAGAGGTGTAGCCCTTCGCTGTCCAAATGGCAGCATTCTTGACTCAGCCACATCGAACATACATAAAGCTGTCCATAATTTCCATGATTCATCCTGGTTGCTGTGTAAGGGGAAGATTCTCCAAAAGTTATATGTAAACATAACTGAAAAGAAGTTCTAAAAACGTTGCTGTTTTTAGTGGTTGAAATTGAGTCGCCGATGCTCTATAAGGGTTGCAAATTCCCAAAACTTGCATTTTATCTTATTGTCTCAGTTTTTCAGAGGTTGTCAGGTGATGTAAACATATACATGTACCTCATTTTGAAGAGATGTAAAATTAACCAGACCTTGCTGCAGCTCCACAGAGTGTTTAATGGTGGCAATCACTTTCTTGATCTCTTTTTGACCTCCAGGCATCTGCTACGAATATTCCTATTCATAATACTTCTAAGGTGGTTTGTTGCAGATTCTCCACTTAACTTTTTTTTTTTTTGAAGGATCAGGGCATCGGGTCGCACAGCATACTATAAGCATATTCTGTTTTGATGATAACGATACAAATAAAGATGCTTTTTTTTTTACTTGGCTCTTAAAACCGTAGATCCAATTTCAATTACAAGAGACACCTATAATGCAAACTCAACAAAATGAAATGTTTCCAGCACTGTAATACCATCAGACATCTTCCTAGCATTTCAGCCTATTAAACGTGCTGTGCCCTTGGCATACAGCTCATAAAGACCCAGCGGATCTTCAGTTCACATACTCTGCCTCACTAGTCAATTACAATTATGAACCTATACTGACTCCTACCTTAGGAGCATTCCAGCCATTCAAGGCTGGAATGCAACATCAGAGGTCCATTAGAGTTCAGTATAACAACACAACAGTTGTCCCAGAAAACATTGTAGACTTAATGGCTTCAAATAATGTTGCATACAGTTAGAATATCTTTTATATCTATCTTCAGATTTTCTCTGAATTTTCATGGTTTTCTTTTCTAAATGAAAAGCTTACATGAAACTGGAGCTGTGGTCGTTTGGATAAACAATAACAGCAGAGTTTCTGGGCAAATGAAATTGGAGAGAAAAAATAAAATAAAGCTCACACAATGGGTCTAACAAGCCTCGTGTACAAGTTGGCAGGTGACCTGTAGGCTTTACACTATCAGATTTAGGGGAAAAAAGCATTTTTGCAGGCTCAACAACATTGTTTATCAACACCTGTCTACATTTTTGAGGAGCGTAGGCAGACTGACAACTTGTTTCGTGTATGACAAAGTCCTCGTGAGGACACAGCCTGAAGTGTCAAAACAGAGCCGCACTTTCCCACGCAAACTGAGTCATGCTAACAAGCCACAGAAGATATCACGTAGATTAACACTGTAAGCATTCACAACCCCTAAATCCTTCTCTTCTCCTCTTATATTTGGTGGCCAGAGGATCTACTTTTCTACATTTTTCCAAATGGTCTCCCTTGTAAGGCTGCCCAATGACATGTACAAGGTTGTTAATCCCCTATCAGATCCTTTAATAGTGAGCCATTAGGACAGAATCGTAACTGTTAACAAATTAAAGAAAGACATTTAACCTGTGAAAGAAAAACTAATTTTAATTCTAATAGATTAAATAGGCTTCTAAAAAAAGGAAAACCATGATGTTAAATCTGGAAGTTTCCTTGTTGACAACCTGGCTTGCACCTACCCAAAGTGAGAGAGAAGAGAGGGTTTGGCACGTTGCAAAGCATGGGAACACACACATTCTTGAAATGAGGGATAAAACACTGTGCAATCGAGGAGAGGGCAAAGCTGGACAAGGTTTGTCATGTTAACTGTGGAAAAGATGATACTAACTCCTGGTGATAATGGCTTTACTTAAAGACACAAAGATTTAGAAGAATATTTTATTATTTCATATTGCCTGTTGCAAGTTGGAAACCAGATTTCCTAAATATGTGGAAATACTTCAGACTTCTTATTAATGTTGTCACTGTACAGTCGACCCAGAGTACAGCCACTCATATTCTTTATTTTTTGTAGTTTCTTTTATGTCTCAATTCTTCTGAGGGTCGTTGGGGGGTTGAACTGATAAAAAAAAATGGCATTGGGTAACAGGCAGGGTAAACCTTGGGAAAGTTTGCCTGTCTGTCACAGTGCTGACAAGGAACAAAGCCCAAGTTGCTGTGAGCTGAACAGTGCTGTGAGCTGAACAGTGCTGTGAGCTGAACAGTGCTGTGAGCTGAACAGTGCTAGCTGAACAGTGCTAATCACGTCACCATTGTGACTTTTATTTTTCAGTCAATTACTTAAATTATTTTAAATAAATCTTTGTTTGAAATTATATCTTACCTTACCAATCATCGAGTAAAAAGAGAAAAGAGCCCAACTCTAATGTCTGTATATGAAATTTGTGCATTTCAATGGAAACTGGAAAACGGCAAACGAAGCTACTAATGGTTTAAATATGTCACTGCCTTTTAGAACAGATACATTTCTGTTTGAGTAAAGTTAGAAAAAAAACATAAACAAAAGATGCAAAACAACCTAAAGCATCTCTCTGAGGAAGGCAAGGCTCAAGAAAACGCGATTTGCGCTTTTTATGGAGTCTGTTTTGGTGTATTTTTGATTTGGTTTGTTTACAACTTACATTCAAATTCAGTTCTGGTTCGTTTGGATGCATTGACGCGTAAGATATATTTGACTGCAATAACACTGGCTGGCCTTGTTAATGGGTTGGTCTCATGAATGTGTTTTAAATTTGTTTCATTTAAACATGACTGCGGGAAAATTAATGCAATTTGGAAGCTCGTGTCTGAGGAATTTAACATTTAATTTGATGAAGCACAAAAGCTGCCTTGGTCTCATGCTCTTCTTCATCTGTATGCTGGCCAGAGATAATGTAAAAAATGATGTCACTTTCTATAGTTATTATGCTGATGACACACAATTATACATATCTGTATAATGAACGCAATATGTTAAACTGCCTTTCAGCCTGTCTGCACTTCATAACGTGGAAGAGGCATAACTTTCTGAAACTCGATGAAAGGCAAATAAGGCATAAATACTTTTACTTAGCCTGAGGCCAAAAAAAATGTGTTATCATAGGAACCTTGGATCTTTGGTTCTCAAGATCAAGCCTCGGCCCCTGTGTCAGACTGTGTTACGCTTTGATTTCACTAATAAATCTCACCTCAAAATCAGCAGTCTCTCATCTCAGACATATTGCCAGAGTGAATTTCAATGCAGCAAGATGTCAAAAAGCTAATTCATGCTTACATTTTAAGCAGGCTAGACTACTCAACATTTCCCTGGTCTTACTGAAAAGTCTATTTAGGGACTAGAAATTATTCAAATTCTGCTTCTTGACTCATGATCAAAACAAGAAGGAGACAGCACACGAGTGTGGTTTTAGCTGAACCCAACAAGGCTCTGCACATCTTTTAGAACTGATTTCAAAGTCCTCCTGCTTGTAAAACTGTAAATGGCTTGGACCATCTTAAAATGGCAGACCCCCTGTTGTTCTTGGAGCTTTCCCATGCACTCATATCATCAGCTGCGGCTTGCTGGATGTTCAGAAGTACAGAAATAAAAGAGGTGGATGTTCCCAAACTCGGGAATGCCAGTCCCCTTGATATCAGGGAGGCGTCCTCCATGAGCATTTTTAAATAAGAGGTTAAAACACATTTCTGGTTGCCTTTAAACTTGGACTGTTGATCCCTTTCCCTACTTACTCATTCATATTATCACTATGATGCTATTTCTGCTCCATTTTGCTTGGTTATAGGCTATTTTTACTCCAAGTTACATTATTTGAATACTTACTTACACATCATTACTTCTAATAACACTTCTGTATTGTGACTTTGACTTATAACATTTAGTAGCATGTGCTGTCAAATACAGATTAATGTTTGCTTACTGTTAACAATCAGAACAGTGTATCAGTTGCTGAGCTGTATGCTTAACCTTTTGTATCGGCACATCCATCTCTTAATATATGAGGAGCAAGAAGATAAGGTGCATGAAAAGGTTCATTGATCAAATTTGTGGATGAAATATATGCCTCTAGCCACATGCCAAAATCAGTGATTCAGTCCCAAAAAAAAATCTGTTCAATTGACTTTAGAGTGAGCGTGTGTGGATGACTGAGGGGGTATATGGGGAAGGAGAGACAATCATTTATTTTAAACTCAATGCACAACATTAAGCTTATGTTATCTAGACTTTTTTTCGTGGAGGTTCATCCTTCCCAAGTCAGATAATCAATAAATAATAGTTGATGGTGTATGCGCGTTTCTGTGAGTGAGTGTGTCTGTCTTTGGTGAGAGAGAGAGAGAGGGAGAGAGAGAGTGAAACGAGGCAGGACTGATTCCCTGAAACTCCGCAACCTCTCAGCTGTCTTAACATTAATCTCTACCTCGCCTCATTTCCTCAAATCATTCACAGTCAAAACTTTATGCTTTTAGTGACCGAATACACAGTCCAAGCCAAGAGTTAAACACTGACCATACTGCGTCAAAACAGGTCAAAACAAGTCCGTGCGTAAATCTGATGCACATGAACTACTTACACTGCTGTTCTGTCCGGACCAGTGCACCATCGCCTGGTTATGCGCCGTGTCCCCGGTCAGTGCAAAGGTAGAACTTGTGAGCTGAACCTCCTCCTGGTCCGCAAACGAAGCATCCTCCCCGCCCTCTTCGGGTCTGGCTTCGGACCACGTCTCTGCGCTCCTGGCACCGCGTATTCGCCTCCAACTGGGCACGTCCGCGTCCTCTTCCCCCGTCATGTCAACCTGCGCCGCGTTTTCATCGTTAAAGCTGTCTTTTTGAGAGTAGTCCCCTTCACTGAGTGTTGGGACATCCGCGCGTGAAGCAGTGCCGGGAATCACTTCCTGCTGGGAAAGTTTTTGCTGACCGTTTAACGCGTCCTTCTCGAGGCAACTCGTGTTATTTCCCCCCAGCCGTGGCTGCACTTCGGGTGAACTTTCTTCCCTCGCGGTAAATTCCGCAACACTGAGCTTTTCGTCTCCCTCTGCGTTGGGTCTGGCTCCTGGTGACCCCTCGATAAATCCAACAAATTCCTCAACTGGTTCCTCGCCAAAATCGGCAAAATCCAGCGTCGAGAGTTCCCGGGGAAACGCATTGTTTTGCGGCATCTGGCAAGAGGGAATGCATCTCACCTCCGCTTTTGTTCCGCCCAGGATGGAAGTTAGGGTGAAAAGCCAAATCCATTCAGAGAAAACGGCCAAAATGCAGTGACCGAGGCGCGTCTCCATTCTCCGTTAATTCCCGACTTCAGGCGTGGTAGAAACATATCATTTTTTTAAAACTCTGGAGCGCGTGTCTGCCGTCACCTGGCAAAGTGGAGTCCGTGAATGCACTGTGGGGAGGTGCAGCAGCGCGCGCGGACAAGTGTTCCCAAGTACTGATGCAAACGATGCATCAGAGGAGGAGCTGGAGGCTGAATCCTAGAAGAGTGGGGAGAGGGGGGCTCGTGCCCCTCATCCCCATCTCAAACTGGGGTTTAGAAAAAAAAAGAAAAGAGGATGGAGCCTCGATTAAGTAATATTATTGGAGAAGCACGTGGTCCCTTAGTGTGCCATATATCTACAAGGTGCATCAACCTGCAAGTAATTATGCATTGGATTAAAACAACCTGAGAGACTCTCAGCTGTTAGGCACCCTGGAGAGAAGTGGATAAACATTATTAGGTGTGCCCCTGCTCTCCTTTGTGTGGAAATGTTTCTGACATGAGCTGTATGGGAGATACAATGAGCCTTTGCATTTTCCATTAACAGGAGGCTAGCTAATCAATTAACAGGATTGCCAATGTTCACTGTCAATTATGCCCCCGCAGGTAATGACTCTGTTGTGGCCCGCCTGCAAAATGGCTTGGAAATACTTTCACTTAGGCTGCACTCCTGTATTATCCATTCAACACAGCTAAATGGACAAAATGCATATTCCCCAGTATTTTCTGTGCCCTTTTCTCGGGTTAATGGATAGCTGTTTGACAGAGAATAGTGCCAAACATTCAAACCGAAAATGAACATGTAAACACCTTCTCCATCACTGATCTCTGATGTTTTATATAAGCGCAGATGCATGTGCCATCTCAATAATTGAGAACCTATTTTTGCCATGCAATGCAGACTCCCTGGGATATATATTGTTATATTTCTCTATACTTTGGGCTTTGTTCCAGTAAGCTAATGGTAAACCATTAGGAGAACTAGGGCCTGTCCAAACCCTGTGATTAGATTCTATTTCTGGGCAACGTTTCGTCAATAGGATGAGGATGCTGTTGACTGGTGACTGATGCCGAAGAGACTCCTTATATTGAGCTGTGTTCTCCCCATCGCTCTGAGCTGCGACGTGATCCTGTTCCACACACGGGTCAACTGCACAGAGATGTCTTTCATTGGCAGCCATTAGTGATGCAGTGAGCAAGAGCTGTCTCAATCTGTTTCAGTTAGCCCCCACCAGACAAGGGGAAACCAGTCTATAATGCAGATTGATGGCTGACTGAGAATTTCAATCATGGAGAACATTGGCTGAAAAGCTCCAGTCTTGACTGTAATGCAAAGTTAAAGCTCAGTCCATCTATTACAGTGCAGAAGACTTCTTTAAGGACACTAATGCCCGTGTCTGTGGCACCTGTACAGCTTTCTGCATGTATTTTTTACTAGCTGTGACTTTGTCTGGGTTACATCTGCAATGGCATGGTGAGGCTATTATAATGGATTTTGCCTGACCTGTCTGCTTAGTTTAGACATGGATGGTTGTGTTCTGAATGCAGGGGTTTGTGTATATGTGGCTTCTTTTCTTTCTTTTTTTTTAGCCATGTCATGTTTTGAATATTTCTGTGCTGAATTTAATTTCACAAAGATGGATGCAACTGGTTTTTTTTGGCACAAACTAGTGAATGAACCTTTCAGATTTACCTAGCAACTGATGTGACATTTGAAAATGACTTTCTTTATCTGAAAACTGTCAAACATAGAAAGAAATCTAATTTGTAAGATTAAGGACGGAAAATGTATTTGAGAAACTGGTACCAATCTTAAAAATGACTTAAATTAGTTTAAAATGTATTTTAAAAAGAATCAACTATCTAACACGCTCTACATGCAAGTACTACTTGTGTTTTTACAGATACCATAGATTTTCTTTGATGCCTCAGTGAGAGGTAAAAGTTCTGTAAATTCTAAATTAATAATTGATTTTACCAAAAAACTAAACTGTGGGTTTAGGAGTCACATGTCAAAATAAAAAAAAAACCTTTGTAGTAAGAGGAAAGTACAAGCACACACTCAGAGTTATAAAGGGTCCTCAAAAAATCAAATATCCATGAAGGAGCTCGTTGACTTCTTCACAGACTTAAAGTTTCTCTGTAAGATGACAGGTTTCAAGTCTGATGTCGTATAGCACATTATTGTGCAAAACATGGCAGCTGAGTGGAATCATTGTCTTCTGGCAGACAAGATTGCTGCGTCGCCGGCTGTCACACAGACTGAATACAAACTGCGTTCTGCTCCCTGAGCTCATACTTCTCAGATGGAAACTTGTGAGCAGACAGTGTGAAAAGAACACAAAGGAACGAGACGACAGCGATTCATGTAGTTGGATTATTCTGGGTTTTTTTTTTTTTTTTTTTTTAATTTAATTGAATTCGGTGGAAGAAGAAAAGAGGACTGTATAGCCTGTCTCTGAAATTGGACCTTTTCCACACTGATGTCTGGTTCACTTTCACAACCGTCCTAATTACTCGGGTGATCATAAGAGTGGAAAAAAAGGAGCAAAGATGCACAGGACATTAGTCATGCACAGTACATTGTGCTCCAACTAAAAAGCTAACATCTGCCTTGACTGCTGCTGAGCACTGAGCAGAAACAGCAGTGTGTGTGCATGACAGACAAAAACACACACACTTGCTATGGAAAAATAATCTTATCTTTTTTACCCTTCAATAATTACTGCACCTACATAATCCTCGTCTATGAAAATGGAGAAAAAAGTGTGAAACTGATATTGCAGGTTTTGTGATTTGGCTCCATGCAGAAAATGTGTTATAGAACCAAACTCGCTCAGTTAGGAGGTGTTGGGGTAGCAACAGACACCTGAGACATCCACTTCAATTAGTGCTGAACACACCTCAGGGAGAGCGTGAGAGAAAATCACCCTTTTCAAATAATGATTTCAATTACGTTATTGAGAGATACAGAGAAATGCAATACAGACAGCAGGGGTAAGTGCTCTGACCTCTATGAAGTGCTGGGCGGTGTACTTTTTATTTCTAAACCTTTAGTTCTTCTATATGGGAGAATCAGCTTCCTATAAATCTGGCCTGGGACATTGATTGCTAGAAACCTGTATGCATTGTATCTACTTTGTATTTTACATATGAAGCAATGCTCATTTCATGTGTCCCTGTTAAATAAACAATCTTTAAAAAAAAAAAAGGAATGACATGAGTGTGTGGTTCTGTCTGATTGAGATTATTTCCCTTATTAAGACATTGCTGTCCCGTCATTTCAAACTCTGACCTGGTGCTTTGAATTGTGGGAAACAGTATATGCGTGCTGTCATTTTTTCCGCACCAGTAAAACAACGGGTATTTTAGTCATACTGCAGATATCTAATTTGTTCGCATACTGCATTTGAACCACATCAGTACATATTAGTACTGCACATATGCAGTTTTGAAAACAGCCTCTGAAATTCAGAAACACTAGGAGGATAGAAAAAAAAAAGTACCAAAAATACAATGTAAATATAACAAAACAAGAACACAGGACATGCAGCACTAGTGAGTACGTTATTGGTCTGACCTGTCTGAACAAAAATTTAACAAGAGCGTACAGCAGAGGGAATGAACTTTGTATTTTATTTTACAATAAAAACACAATAATGATTACTGTCAGTTGTGTATTTTTGGCCATAAGTTGTTAGTTTCACGTAGCACATTTGTGAATCTTAATTGCACAAAACATGTCAAAATAGTTCCGCTTCCACTGCAGGAACTTTTTAGAGGAACAAGGGACCTTTGGAGGTCCTCGGTGTGTTTCAGATACAGGCACCAGGGATCCAAATAAAGTCACAAATAAAGGACTGCATCTAACCTCCCTCCAGGCGTAGTACTTTTTAAAAGTACGACTTTGAGGCTGGGCTATGCAGATGTCTGAATTTTAAAGTATTGACAACATTTAGAAGGCAGATCAGCAAGTGGATAAACCGTCTGGATAATCTGGATGTGTTGCCAGACCATGCTTAAATATTTACCACACTAGCGGCTGTCAGGCTGACCATTATGCACCAGTAAGCAAAGATTTTAAAACAGGGGCGAGTGCATGGGTAAAATAAGATGCTGTCTTTTATGATGAGTTTCAGGAGACGTGTTAAAAAGTTACTAAAATAGAGTTATGTAGGTAGCCGCTTTCACATATGCACTCCGGATAATATCTAGATAATTACAGGAGGACCGCTCCGGAGATTCTCCCGAACTAGTCGTTCACATATGCTCCTCACAGCGGGGGACTTTCCCTGTCAGAGGGGAGGGGGGCGGGGGTTTTCCTGAGGTAAGACGTGACGTAAATAAACAACGCGAAAGTAGCGGCCGAAGCAACAGAGTCTGCTACACAACGTTATAATGAGAATATCTGCCTTTATATCAATGCTATGTGTAATCCAATGGAATGACAACATCCACAAAAGAGAGGAGAACAACATACTGACGAACAGAAAACATAATGCAGCCGTTTAATTACGTGCACGGAGATCGTAGTGGTCGCGGGCAGACCCTTTAGGCAGTCACTGTATATAAACGTCACTCTGGTCCCATTGGCTCGAATTGAAATCTTCGGAGTATATGCGGCCGAGTTCAGACATCAGCTCACTCAGACTTTCTGCGGATTAAATACTAGGGGTCTGGCCGGAGAAACTCCGGGGTAAAGTCCGCGCAAAAAATGTGACTGTTGAAACTTTTTTTTATTGATTGAAAAATGTCAACATTATCTGTAACGCAGGTGTGACTTTTAACTGACTTTTAATTTCAGCAGACAAATTTACCTTATCTTCCCAGTTCCTTGATCCTCAGTAAAAACACAGAAAAGCATAACCCGGAGGAACCGTTCAGTCCCGTAAAATGAAGCTCCTGGAATTACAGGTTGGGGCTATTTTGGCTGGAAACGTAAATCAACAGGCCTACTTAATTTACAGTAAACCAACATATCTCTATAACCGTAGATTTGCAGAAAGATGTATCTCCTTATCTTGCTTAGTATTGCAGAATTTCCATTCAAAGATACATTTAACTGAAGAACTGCTTTACAATGGTTTGAATAACCAGGAAATATTAGAGGCTCAGCTCTTCCTAAAGAGAATTATGCACTTAAGAACAGATCTTGCGATTTCCACCCATGGTATCT